ACTGCAGCCAGTTGAGATTTCTACACCCCCACTATCAAGTCTTGGGCAGTTGTTAACGGAAGCAGCAGCAGCGAAGACGATAGGCTGAGCAGTGCCGTGATGGGCGGCAGCCGGCGGATCCGTTTGCTATTCCGGATAAGTACAGATGGAGTCTTTTCGATATGAAAAATGCGGACAAGTCTAGGAGGAAAGCCAAGTGAAGAAGAATGAATTGATGTTCTTTTTTACTGATTTCTAATTAAGTAAATGAATTGCTATTTGATGTTAATGGCATTTTTGTTATTGTCTAGCATATGATAGTTTGTGATAGATATAAGATGATTTCGAATACAGTGGGTTAAATTATAGTTTCTACTAAGAGTTGTTCACAAATACCGCAAAAAGAAATTATTTTGTTTATCTCTTTTTTTAATAAATAATTCATAATTCAAACAAACTGGCAATAGTAAAAGTAATATGTGACTTTACTTTGTTGTAAGAAAAGCAAGTTGTACACTGCCAAATTATGTACAAGTAGCAACATATACAACTATTCCAATACCTGTTGCAAAACAGATCCATTTATGCTTTTATTTTATTTGCTAATTTGATGTGTCTATGTTCCCTACCACTAATTATTCTCTAATTAATTAGCTAACTAAAAAACTATCCTTCGATAACAACAGTTAAATCTCTATAAATTAATACGGTTAGAACCAGCCAAATTATATTAATTTAATGAAATATCATTGTAGTAGGTTGTCTTCGAGTCGGGACCGAGAAAACGTATTACTCAAACGAGATTATTAATTATTAATTATCGAGAAAGCACACAGACCGAGGTATTACAAAAATAAAGATGTTGAAAGTAAAAAGGGGGGAATGAGCAAATCTGAGAGAAGCAGGAAACAGGATCTTATCATGAATAAAACAAAGTGTTTTACACGCAAATCAAAGAATATATAAAGCCCTAATTGTGAATGTCTCATAATACATAGTACAAACAAAAAAGTAACCCGACCACAAATCTTTATTGTAAAAAGATCAAAATAATTATCTCCCACTGGTCGAAGCTTCTATTTCAAGTTCATCATTTTTTTACTAAATCCAAACAGGCCCCAACGCTTAAGCAGTAGTAAATATATAATACCCCCATGGTGTACGTTACTGAGATATATTTAATCAATTGACAATAAACCAAAAAAAAGAAATCGAAAAACCAGAATTAGTAGTCCAACAGAATGATTTAAAAAATATTTTTCGAAAAAACGACACGAAAACGAAAATAGGGTAGAGAAAGGTGGCTGGAAATATGCTTATAAAGAAAGAAGAAGAAACAAGGAAAAAAAACATTGCTTAGGGAGGCAGTAAGCTGTGTGTGTGAGTTGGCATTGATTCTTAAAGAAAAAGAGAGAGGATTAGTTATAAAGACAGCCTATCTTTCACATGCATTTTGCACCCCAGATTATATCTTCCTTTATATTTCTCCCTCGAGAATCCTCTGCTTCTTCATTCGACAGATCTAAATCTAAGCCCTCGTTTACTATCTTCTTCACAAGGTACTCAATCTCTCTATCTCTCTCTATCTCTCTCTCTATATATATATATGTGTGTGTGTGTATTGAAAAAAGCTTATTTAAAAACGAGCAATATCTATTTACAAGAAAGTATATATAACAAGAGGAATTCGTTGCGAAAATCTGCTTAGGCAGAAGAACGAAAAATGGCTGCAGAGGGGCCGAGCTGGGCAGATCAATGGGGCCAGGGAGGCTTTGGTGCAATGACAGATGAAAAAACTGAAAGCAACAAAGAAGGTGGAAATGACAAGAAAGCCCCTGCCTCAGCTGGATTCGGTAAGGCCAAATCAGCTGCAATCGCGGGTGCACAAAAGGTCAAAAACGGAACTTCGATGGGATTTAAGTGGGTCAAAAACAAATGCCAAAAGAAAACCTCTTCTACATAACAACAGATATGTTTATACACACAGAAAATAATGTATCATTGTCGGTGGAGAGTTCTATGCTGTTCTAGAATGGCTTTATTCTGTGACCTGTTGCTCCAAACTTTATGTATTTTCAATTGATTTTTTTTCTTCTTTTCCTATTGTATTTCGATTGTACAGAGTTATCCTAGAATTGGCTAAGTGGTTATATTACCGATGACGAACTCAAACAAGCTTGTGTAGTGGAACACGGGATGAGATTTGATCTTCTTGTAGTTATAATCAAAGAAGTTGATCAAGGTAAGGCAAGTGATCATGGACTGAAAAGATGGGTCAGAACTTCGATTTGAAAGTGCAATATTGTAGAAATAAATTGTCGTGAAATTCAAACCGAACGTGTTTTCCCCACTACAAGTTGTGTAGAGAAATCCATCTTCATCCTTGTATTCCTCATAAATCGCAGAAAATAGTGCAGTTGTTCGAATGGAAAAACATGTCCAATTC